CTCTTAGTTTTAATATCTTAGACAACTTTGTTCCCCCTTTTCGAGATAGATTAATTGTTGGTTGTGATCATAGTGTTAGGTTTTGTAGCGTCCAACGCTACACGGAAGAGAAACCTGCCCAAGACCTGCTCACTAATTAAAGCAACTAAATATGAAATCACATAATTAACAACATAAGAGAGAGAAAGAGAAAAGACATTCTTACCCTTGACGCGTGCTTCGCTTGATTCACGAGCTCTTACTTCAAAGCCCGAGCCACGCAAGTGCGTCAGCCTCCTACGGCTCGCACCCTCGACCCGACCCGAACGGTCTTTATCCCAAAGGTTAGTAGGTACTTGACCAAATAAAACTAGAGTATTAGGAACTTAAAGGTTTTCTTACTTTTCAAGGAGATGCCTTTTTGAGTTCAACTCAAGTGATTGTTCCCAAACCCAAAACTTGGGTATTTATAGGGAATGGAGACTTGATCTCCCTTCTCACATCAATGTGGGATATTTGCATTTTCCTCTATTTTATTTTAATTAAAAAACAAAATAAAATGCAAGGCAATCAACAAGCTCCAAGTGTCACATGGAGGGAGAGACCAGGTGAGGACCACTGATGTATGTGTTTTATACCATGTTTTACCCTAGTTTTATAGCGTATATTTGAATGGTTTTTAGGCTCTACGGAGCCGTTTCTCGCTAACAATCTCTTCTCTAGTGTGTTCAATCTATTTTATTGAGTTTCATAGGAATACGGAGATTTCTTGGATGAATCGGACCTGTTTTGGATGATTATGGAAGAGGCTGTTGAGTGAAAGATGAAGATTTCCCCAATGCCCTACCAAATACTCCATGCTCTAGCTACTAGGTCGAAGGAAGGAAGAGCTAACTATGAAGAATCATCATAGATCCCACATGCCCTATCGGGCATGTCATGCCCTGGATGACCGGGTAATGAGGAATGTTATTTTCATAGCTTCATTCAAGAAGTTGTTACGCGCGCCCGAACGGGCACCACATGCCCTGGTTGACCGGGCAGAAGAAGAAGAACACAGGAAGAAGGAAATTACTTCGTCCGCCCAATCGGGCTGGCTCCGCCCGGGCAGACCAGGCACTGTTGTGCGATGACCCGTCTTTAATTAATTATGGGATTCTATCTTTTTAGGGGTATAAATACCCCTTGTAATAACATATAGAGAACAGATTATTTATTTTCCCTAGTATTAGAACTACTTTAAAACCCTAGTTTTCTCTTCTTTAAGAAATTAATTTCTACTCTTAGTTTGGATCATTGTTCATCAACAATTCAAGTTCTTTCAATTGAAGCAATTGGTATTTATCTATTCTCTTTACTTTTACTTTTCATTGCTCATTAATTATGTTTTCTTTATTGAATCTTGTTTTTGATTTCGTTAATATGTGTGAGTAGATCCTTAATCCGGGATCGTGCAAAGCCCAAATATGATTGGTACATGAATTGAATCTTTAAATTCTCCAATAATAATCCCAATTGACATGCTTAATTGATTGTTTTTATGCCAATGCTAGATTAGGAATAATTTGTATTGTTATCATCCCTTTGTTCTTATCGCAATGAAAGTTGGGTATTAACAGGATTAGGGTATTTCAATTAAGGGTTTGAGAGTCATCACGGGAGTAGGTGATTAGATGATTCGAAAGTTAAGTTTTGTGTTTAATGTCCCTTATTTGCTTGATTCCATGGAAATAGGCTTGATAGTTGATTTGGGAAGCCATTGATAACTCGGAAGAGACCTTTGGTATTGTTTAGGAAATGCTTTTCTTCTTGTCAATCGATTTGTTATTGGGGGTAGATTTATTCGTGCATTGATTATATTCGTGGTAATGCTTGATCTTGGATGCTTTATTTCATTGATTATAATTTTCTCTAGATTAATTGTGCTATTTAATATATAAGTCATTAGTATTAGTCATTATTGCTTGGTTACTTGCTTGGTGATTGCTTGAGTCTGATTAATTAGGTGAACCTCAGTCTCTTGGGATTCGACTCTTACTTGCCCGACTACATAGTTAGGAGGAATAGTTAGGTTTATTTTTGTTAGGTACGCGACACGCCTATCAAATTTTAGCGCTGTTGCCGGGGACTAACAATTTCTTTCTATTTATTTGTGATTCGTTTTTACTAAGCCTTTTTCGTTTCTTCGGCTATTGTCTCTTGTGTTTTTGATACTCTACTTTTAGTTCCTTGTTGCATGCACACACGACGTTTAGGATCAGACGATTTAACAACTTTTGATTCTGAAATCGAAGCAAATGTAAGGAGACAAAGAGGTATAAGAAGAAGGAGGAATCAAAACAATAGAAACGTGGATGAAGGCATGAAATCTCTTTTGGAGTACGGTATTCCTGATACAACAACCGGACTCCTCTCAAGCGTTGTCAGACCACCTGTCACTGCTCAGAACTTCAAATTGAAACCACAATTCATTCAATTCATCTCCAATGATTCGTTTGCAGGCACATCTCATGATTGCCCAGTGAGTCACATTGATAATTTTTTGGAGAAATGCGATACTATGAAGTTAAATGTTGTTACAGATGATGCTCTTAAACTTCGCCTTTTTCCTTTCTCATTACGGGATATGGCGAAGGAATGGTTGAGAAATGAAGGTTCTGGCTCATTTGACACATGGGATAATCTTGTGATATTAGTAGAAAAAATGAAATAGGCACCGCAAAATGCACACCATTTTTAAAAACCGGTGCGAAAAATAATAGGCGAGATTGAGGGGAAGACTTTTCGCACCGGTGCTAACCAAACCGGTGCAAAAAATGAGTTAAGACTTGTTTAGTTCACCTGATTTAAGCTGATTTGATCTGATCTGATCTGAACTGATATTTGCTGATCTGATCTGATCTGAACTTATATTTTCTGATCTGATCTGATCTAAACTTATTTTTTTTATCTGATCTGATCTGAACTTATATTTTCTGCTTTGATCTGATCTGAACTTATTTTTTCTGATCTAAACTTATTTTTTCTGATCTGATCTAATCTAAAGTTATTTTTTCTGATTTGAACTTATTTTAATTATTTCAATATTCTACTTTTAATGTTAATCAATATTAATGTTTAATTATTATTATTATTATTTATTATTCTTACAAATATTTTAAAGAAACCTATAAGTATTAAAATTACTAGATAGTATAAGGTAATAGAATTGGAATATGTGATAATTTTATTATTTACAGTATCCCACTTCATAAAAACTAAAATACAGATTAAATTTATCATAGCTTTTTTCTACATAGAAAAAAGGAGATTTGACTTGTTTTTAAATACCTTAATTCTTAAATAATAATATAGATTTATGATGTATCGGATTTGATTTTATCGTTTGTTTGAACTAGCAACATTTTCTATGTTACTTTGTACTAATTTTGATTGTAGTAATGTGTAGCTATTATTATTGAAAACCTTGTACGTATACTCCCTTCGATTTTAAATACCTTCTCCATTTTTACACGTGGGGAGTTTTAGGAGAAATTGGTAAACGTAATAATATAAGGATGGGGTAAGTGGAAGAATATTTAATTGTATAAAGAAAAAGTATTTGACAGATTAGGAGGAAAGAAAATATGAAAGTTAAAAAAATAAATTATTTATGGGAAACGTTAGGCTTGTTATCAAAAATATGAAATTAAAAAAAATGAAAATATACATAATATGTTGTACGAAGATATTTATTTTTTTGTATAGGAAACGTTAGGCTAGTTTATTATTGCTTTTTTCTTTTTTTTTTGGAAAAAAAGTAATATTTTGTAAGAAGATATTCAAATATTTTTGTTAAAACCACTTGATCAAGTATTATTGTTTTGATCTGATGAGGGTGTTTCTCGGAAAAAGCAAAGTATTATGTTTTCCCTCCGTCCCTTATTGATAGTCCTTTTTGGCTAAATTTTAGTCACAAATTGTTCATCCCATTTGTTATTTCCCTCCGTCTACTTTTTTTCATATCCAATGTAAATTTATCTTTCCAATGTACTTTACTACTCATATAAATGCAGTTGTAAACGATGATGATGGTGTGGCATATCGAGGGCGTTCTGGAAAAAAAACATGGAATATTTTGGCTGCTTATTCCTGTGATAGACTTTTCACGTTTATCAATGTTAGATTTGAAGGTAGTGCTCATGATACTGTATGGAACCATTGCTTAACCGTACTAGAATTTCGATTTCCCCATCCACCTCCAGATATAATTTAGAATAGTGTATGTTTTTACTCCATACATGACACTATACTAATATGCCGTATAACTTTATTTTGTAGCAGGAAAATATTATCTAGTAGGTTCTGGATATCCGAATACCGTTGAATATTTTAGTCCAATAAAAGACAAAGATATTAGAACCCATATGCCCGAATTTCGAAAAAGTCCACCACCTCAAGGCATAATTGAACTTTTAATTATCTTCACTCTTCACTTCGAACAACGATCGAGAGATGTTTCAGACAATTAAAATCTCGATGGAAAATATTGACAATGATGCCAAATATGGGCACTAAACATCAATTTGCAATTATGGTTGCTACATTCACACTTCACAATTTTATATTCGATTACATGAGTTGGGTATACCCATTGATAGTGGTATAAAAATTGAACCAAGAGCAGATTATGATTTGTTTAACGAGAATCGTAAAGCTGTAATGAACGAAGTATAATTTAATATAGCGAAGGAAATTTGGAACTTCTTGTAATGAAAATTATATTTGTAAACGTTTATGATTTGGAGCTTATAATGAAATTTTAATTATCGTTTATCGTTTGTGCTATTTATTAATAATAATAATAATAATAATAATAACCATAATAATAATAATAATAATAATAATTTTTATAATAATAATAATAATAATAATAATAATAATAATAATAATAATAATAATAATAATAATAATAATTTGTATTTGATCTGAACTTATTTTTTGTGATCTGATCTGATCTGAACTTATTTTTTCTGAAATAAGTAAAAATAAGATGAACTAAACAAGGCCTTAATCGCACCGCTTCGGTTCGAATCGGTGGGAAAGCTGTTCGAACCGGTGGGAAAGCTATTGTAAAAAAAAATAAATAAAATGGGCCTTATCTTTTTTCTTTCTCCTTCTGTCTTATGTATTTCTCTTTCCTCGATCTCTCCTCCTCTCTCATCTGCCTCTCTCAGTCTCTATCATCTACAACAATGGAGCCTCAAACTCCTTCTCTCTCCTTCGATCTCCTTCTCCATAACCGCCGCTTTCCCTTTCCTTTTCTCTCTCATTCTCCATCACTGCGCCGCAAGCAACGCCGCTCTCCTTCTCCTTCTCAGTCTGAAATCGGCCGCCGTCAATTTGAACCAAATACAACAACAACAACAACAACAACAAACTTGAATCAATTATCGATTCAAAGTTCACAATTTCGAGGTATGTGCTCTTCGATTTGAAATCTAGGTTTTATGAATTTTTTATTTTATTTTTTATATTGGGGCGTTTGAAATCTAGGTTTTATGAATTTTTTTTTTTTATTAATGATGAACAATTGAAATTTTGAATGCAATTAGGGTTGGTGTGTGAACCATCAAATAGTTGAAGCCATGGTTCCGTTTGAATACAAGCCGTATTTGGATTCCAAAACATAGTAAGTGTAAATTCGATTTGTTTTGTTGAATGGGATAATTAGTTGAAGGTTTATGTTGTTGAAGGTGTATATGTGTGTGTGTTAATTTATTTAGGGTTGGTTGATGAGTTGATTGATTGCATTAATTTGGTTTATGTGTGTGGGAATTCAGCTTATTGTCGATTTAGAAATTGTCTGAGGTTGTTTTACTGGAATCACATTCAGAGGTTTAGTTCTTTGAATTCTTTGCTTGGGAAAAATCTTGTCTTTCTTCAAGTATAATAATATACACTGCATTTTAATTTTATTTTTCAGATTTTTTTGTAGAAAATTTCATGGCTTAGTGTTGAAATATGTTATTTAATTACTTTATTATGGGGTTGTGATTTTGTTGAATGATGCTGAAATCCAATGTTTTACTTTTGTAAGTAATTTTAAATGGGGTTGTGTTTCTGTTGTGATTCATGTGGAAATCTGTAAAAAAAAAATATTATTCCAATCTAAGGTTGCCTGGAATGCGGATTCCTCTACATGGGACAAATATATCACTGGTGTTTGCTTTTTCTCAATATAAGCTTAATCATGTAATTTCCTAATGGAAATCCAGTGCATCACTTCCTGATTTGTTCATAGTCGTAAAAGAGAAGAAAAATGAAAGTCTTATATGAGAGGCTGGGAGTACTATCTTTTTATGCTTATTAAAAATATTAAAAAGACATTGTGGCAAATGAGTTTTTACACTAAAATCTATGGCCTACTATATGCTGCTCAGTGGAGTTACACCCTAAGATTCGAGTTTGTGATTTAATCTACTAGATTTTGGACAAAATAGAGAACTTTCTTGCTCATTTTCCACTCAGTCAAAACATAATCTCTTTAGGATGCAAAGTGGCTTTATACGACCTTGCACACTTGGTTTACTCTGTCAGTAAGCTTAGAAGATAGAATTCATTATTTGCAACTTCTAATGACAAGAGATGACCTTTTATTAATGCTTATCCTAATTTCTGCTTGTTTTATTGAGTTCTAATTAAATTTATCCTTTCCTCCAGTTGAAGGTATTTCATTGTTTACATCTAAAAGGCCAAAATTGATTTGATGACAAATTCCTCTATTCCTTTTATGCTGTGGAAATATGTTCAGTGGTATAGAAATAAGGGCTAGATTTGTTTTAGGAAAATATTGTAAATAACCACCCCTAAAATTGAATTTACCACCTATTTTTTTGTTTATTTTAACTAACCACCCCTTAAAGTGAAAAATTTTAGAAATCTATAAGCATTTAGAAGCGCACATGGTCTATGTATATGTACAACTGTACACTGTCAAGAATGTCCACAAAAGCAACATATTATACAAGAGTAGATTCTTGCTGACTGAATTCAATTAAGAGTTGTCTTTTCAGCCTATCCCTCTCTTAACTTTTCTATGTCCTACTCTCCCTCTGTCTCTCTCTCATATCAGTACCACTGATAGGATTCCTTTCAGAACTCTGTTGCTTTTGACTGACTGGTCCTTTTCTATGGGGAGCAAGAGACAATCTCCACGGAATCTCCCTGCCTGTTATTTGCTTGAGCTCACTGCTTGTTTCCATAGTTTCCAAATCTTTCAGCCCTATGCTCTCCTTTTCTTTGCGGGATTATTTTTATTTATCGATAGTTTCTTTATAGCAAAACAGTGGTAAATCTTTCAGTTATGGGTTGGCTTGATGCAATCATTAGGATGAAACTTGTCTCTTGTCTGTCTGTATCCCATATCGTTTTGGTTATTTCTTCTCCCTTGGGTATGCTTACCTTAATGGAGGGTTTACTATATAAGACACAAGTGGAATATCAAACCTGGAAATTTGGTAAGCATCTTACTTCTCATAAGTATTGGTACCTTTCTTTAATGTGGAATTGAACATAAGATCATTATCCAAACAAGTACTTGGTACAAAGTTGAGGTTGTGTTAGCATAATAAATTAATGTTTAGATTCATCATATTTGCAAAATACTACTACTATATCGTGTCAACACTACTGCTTTCTTATATAATACTCTTTTTTTTCCTTAGAATTACTCATAAGAAAAGTGACAAAAAAGACCATAGTAACGCTGCCTATGTTTTGTCTGCTTCACTAACTACCTCTGGTTGTATTTTATTTTGCTCATATGCAAATTGTACATTTACGAGTCCTATTTTGTTTTTGTGGCAAGAATTATATATCTGACATCAAGGTTAAAGGTAATGTGTAGTTGCATTCATACTAAAAAGGTAAAGCTACTTCATTACTCTGTGATACAAACAAAAATGGATGTGTACATTTGCTGAATGGCTTCTATCTAGTTTCTTTGGTTGAATTTTTCATTTATCAAACGCCAACATTCAATCTGTTTTCTTGATGATATAGCCACCAACATAACATATGTGCTGAACTTCTGTTTGTGCTATCAAATTATAACTGTAGGTAATGCTAATGCATGTATTTGGCTTCTTTTTGGTGTTTGTTGTGCCGTCTGTGCTTGCTGCAATGAACTTGATGTGGTTTGGGAAGATACTCAGAGGATTGAAGAAGAAGTTAGCAAAGAGACAATGACTCAGTAATGGAATTGCATGGTATTTTCTTAGAATCTTTTTTCTTCGGTGTAAAAATGGTGGGTTGGAAATGTGAAGGCAAAGGGATCTTTTTTCTTCGTGAAGATAATTGTATCGCCATTTTTTATTTAGTTTTTTAAGTGTAATATTACAAGTTATTGAAGAAAATATAGGTGTTTTATGTATATTATGATTATATAAGTATTTGATACAATTTAAGTGAAAAAAATGCAAAAAAAAAATCTGTTTTTTTTTTGGGCATTATTGGCACCGGTTTTGAACAGAACCGGCGCTAAAAGTTTTTTTTAATTTTTTTTTTTGCCACTTTTTGTCCCAGTTCAAAGCAAGAACCGGTGCTAAAAGTGTGTTTTTTTGCACCGGTTCTCACCCAGAACCGGTGCGAAAAGCATGTTTTCCCACCGGTTTTGAACCGGTATGAAATGTCTGGGGTTTTAGCACCCCCCGAATCAGGACCGATTCAAAACCGGTGCTAAATGGGGGTTTTGAACCGGTGCGGATTACGTGTTTTCGCCTAGTGTGAAGGCTTTTCTGGTCAAGTTCTTGGGACAGGAAAAGACTGCAAGGTTGAAATATGAGTTATCTACTTTCAGGCAATCAGATGATGAGTCCCTATATGACGCATGGAGGAGATTCAAGCGATTGCAGAGACAATGCCCTCACCATGGTATTCCTGAATGGATGTTGATACAAACCTTCTATAATGGTTTAACTCATGAGTTCCAAATCTATATTGATGCTGCATCCGGGGGTTCTCTCTTGACTAAGAGCCCAACTGAGGCAAAGGAGCTAGTTGAGAAGATGGCGACCAATGATAACTATCATCTAGGAGGACGAAATAGTGTGAAGAAGGGAGGTAAATTAGATGTTGATGCTCTAACTCTTTTGACTAGCTCTGTGTAGGCATTGTCAAGCAAGTTCAACAGACTCCAAGCTGGATCATCCGCTAGCTTACCTAAAACTGGTCAAATGTGTAATGTGCAAGGTCACATCGTACCTAATTGCCCACAAAATTCAAATGAGACATCAACATTCCGTTCTTAGATGCAATATCCAAGATGCCATCTTATGCAAAATTCTTAAAGGATATTCTCTCTAACAAGAAGAAGCTAGAAGGGAATGCTACAGTTGCATTGACTGCAGTGTGTAGTGCAATTTTGCAAAACACACTTCCTAAGAAATTAAGCGATCCAGGTAGCTATTCAATTTCGGTCCTTGGAGGCATAGAGATCAACAGGGCATTCTGTGATCTTGGTGCAAGTGTGAGTCTTATGCCGCTCTCTATTTGCAAGAAACATCAAATGGGTGAACTAAAGCCTACGCTCATATCACTACAACTTGCGGATAGGTCGGTTAAGTTTCCTTTAGGTATATTTAAAGATGTTCCTCTTCGCGTGGGAAAATTCTTTATTCCATGAGATTTCGCTGTGATGGAGATGGAAGAGGATTCACATGTTCCTATCATTCTTGGTAGACCATTCCTAGCCACTACAGCTACAATCATTGATATGAAGAATGGTAAAATCACCTTTGAGGTAGGCGACGAGAAAATGGAGTATTCACTCTTGAATGCTATGGGAACTCCATCGACGGGAGAGACTATTTGTCAAGTGGACGTCCTTGATGATTTACAAAGAGAGCAACTTCCCATGATCAAGATGGATGATGCACTTGAAACGTTGTTAATGGGGAGTGCCAATGATAAAGATTGGGAAACAAGGTAATACACAAGGCTACTAGAGGAAGCAAAAGCTAACCTAATCATCGCTCCAATCAAAGAAGTCCTTAATGCATCGAGTGTTGGGGAGAGAACTACGCCTCCCGAGGTAGAATTGAAACCCCTTCCCTCTAATCTTCAATATGCATACCTTGGTCCTAATAATACATACCCTGTTATTGTTAATGCTGAACTTAACGACACAATTTTAGAGCAACCGCTCATTATTTTGAGAAAATATAAAAGTGTTATTGGGTCAACCATTGATGATATTATAGGTATTAATCCTTCTTTTTGTACGCATAAAATCGTTCTTGAGGACGATCATGCCTCCTTAGTAGAATCTCAAAGAAGGCTTAATCGAAACATGATGGAGGTAGTTAAAAAAGAAGTTCTTAAATTGCTTGCTGCAGGAATAATTTACCCTATCTCAGATACTAAGTGGGTTAGCCCTGTACAGGTAGTACTAAAAAAAGGAGGTTTGACCGTTGTTAAGAATGACAAGGGTAAGCCAGTCGCCACTAGGAATGTTACAGGGTGGCGAATGTGTATTGATTATAGGAGGTTGAATAAGGCCTCCTGGAAGGACCATTTCCCCCTCCCCTTTATTGATTAGATGCTTGAACGTTTGGCTAAGCATTCCTTTTTCTGTTATTTGGATGGATATTCTGGTTTCTTTCAAATTCCTATTCGTCCTTGTGATTAGGAAAAGACCACATTCACATGTTCATACGACACTTTTTCATATCGTAGAATACCGTTTGGATTATGTAATGCCCTAGCCACATTTCAACGTTGTTTGATGACAATTTTTTCAAGCCTTATAGAAAATTCTATGGAAGTGGTTATAGATGATTTTTCTGTTTATGGAACTTCTTTCGATGTGCCTTGATAATTTGAAAAAGGTGCTCGATAGATGTCAGGAAGTCAATCTAATTCTGAATTGGGAAAAATGTCATTTTATGGTTCAATTGGGAAGCGTTTTAGGTCATGTCGTGTCAAACAAGGGTACTGAGGTCGATAAGGCTAAAATTGAGGTTATTGAGCGCTTACCATCTCTGAATTCTGTAAAAGGAGTTCAAAGTTTTCTTGGTCATGCTGGACTTTATCGTCTCTTCATTAAGGATTTTTCAAAGATTGCTCGACCTCTAACGGCTACTCATCTTAACAAAAGAAGAAATTCTTCTATGAGGCAAGGAGACACTTTTGGGAGGATCCCTTCTTGTATAGGCTATGTGCGGACGCGGTGATTAGACGATGCATCCCAGAGAATGAGGTACATAGTGTCATTTCTCATTGCCATGACTTACCGTGTGGTGGACATGCAGGTCCTTCGAAGACAACTGCAAAGGTTTTGCACTGCGGTTTTTATTGGCCAACCCCGTTTAAGGATGTTTACTCCTATGTCAAGGCCTGTGATCATTAACAATGGACAGGTAATATTTATAGGAACAATGAGATGCCACCCAACAACATACTCGAGGTCGAATTGTTTGACGTGTGGGGGATAGACTTCATGGGTCCGTTTCTTTCTTCCCATGGAAACCGATATATCTTAGTAGCCGTTGACTATATGTCAAAGTGGATTGAAGTTATTGCTACTCCAACCAATGATGCTCGTGTGGTAAGTAAAATTTTCAAGAAAGTTATTTTTTCCCGATTTGGTATCCCACGTATGTTGATTAGTGACAGGGGAACACATTTTTAGGAGCATCGGTTCGAAGTGATGTTGAAGAAATATGGAGTGCAACACAGGCTGGGCATTGGCTATCATCCACAGACCAGTGGTCAAGTTGAAGTGTCCAACCGGGAAATTAAATTTATCCTAAAGAAAACGGTTGCAAGGACAAGAAAGGACTGGTCGGCCAAGATTGATGATGCACTATGGGCATACCGAACAGCTTTCAAAACGCCAATAGGTACAACCTCATATAGACTTGTCTATGGAAAGGCATGCCACCTACCGGTTGAGCTAGAACACCGAGCATTTTGGGCTATTAAGAGCTTAAATTTTGATGCTAAAGCAGCGGGAGAAAAGAGGTTGTTACAGTTGAATGAACTAGATGAGCTATGTCTTGAAGCTTATGAGATTTCAAAACTATATAAAAAAAGAACTAAGCGGTGGCATGATAAGGGCCTTGTGAGAAAAGAATTCAAGTAAGGGGATCAAGTTCTTCTATTTAACTTACGGTTAAAATTGTTTCCCGGAAAGCATCGGTCTAGGTGGTTAGGCCCTTTCAGTGTTTTTAAGGCCTACCCCTACGGTACTATTGAACTATGGAACAAGACCGGGTCCACTTTCAAGGTCAACGACCAAAGGGTGAAGCATTACCGTGTCAGGGATCCTATCAAAGAGAAAGTGGACATCACACTCTCTTCCCCATCACCAATTCAATGAGCATCACTACGATCGAGTTAACGACCTTATAAACAAGCGCTTGCGGAAGGCAACCCGTTTTCTTAGCTTTTTTTTTCCTATTTTTCATCTTCTCTTTTTAGTTTTGTGTTTGTGTTTGTTTTGTTTTTCAGAGAACACCGAGCAATGTAAGAAGTGGGATGTCAAGAAGGTCGTCAAAGGTTGATAAAATGAGGAATTAACTCGTCGCCCTGGCAAACCGGGCATGCCACGCTCGACCGGGCGTGAGAAGCAGAGTCATAAGGGGAAGAAAAGGGAGAAAAGAAAACATGAAATATTTTCTAACCCCTAGAGCCTGGTCAGACCGGGCATCACTGCCCGATCGGGCGTGAGAAGCAAGAAAGAAAGAAGAATTAAGGCTGCAATTCAACCCCCATCGCCCAGTCAGGCCGGGCATGGAATGCCCGACCGGGCATGGAATGCCCGACCGGGCATGAGAGCTAAACTCGGAAATTACAAATGGAAAAATTTTCTTCTTTAAACGCCCGGGCGCCAAGAGAAACTGCGAGGACAACACGTTTTAATTCACAAAAAAAAAATGCCCTCTTCACCATTCTACTCTTTCATTATTTCCACACTCTCTCTCTCTCTAAAAATCACAAAATCAAAAACCCTAACTCTCATCCTCTCCTCTAATTCCCACAAACTTCTCTCAAATCCTTTCAGTTTCTTCATCCTTCATCACTTCGACCCCATATCCAACCTCCATTACTATTCCTCTCCCTCTAAACACTCATCTCACCCAATTTTTTTTTTTAGAGAGAGAAAGCTTGAGAAATATTAATGGCTGCAAGGAAGAGAAATAGGAGCGCCCCTCAAGAACCACAACTAGATTTGGAGAGCATTCCAGGGTTCCCAAACATCAAGTTCGTGGCCGAATTTCCAAATCAAAAGAAGCGGTTCCCAGAGCTACAACATCGGGAGGTAATTCCCACTCATTTTATACACCGTTCTCTTCTTGCTAAATTAGGAATAGATTCCGATTGTAGAACCTTGTTTTCTAAGCTTGGCATGTCTCAATTGTTTAACATGATCCATTATACATATGAAGATATCACTCTTGAATTTTTGAGCTATTTTGATATAGTAAAAGGTAGAGATGGTTTGGTGACACACGTAGTTTATAGATTGTTGAATAAATCCCACTGTCTTACACTACATGGTTTTGGTAGGAAGTTTGGTCTTCCGTCCATAGGATTAACCATGCAACCGAAAAATTTCATTTTTGGGGATTTGTGGTTTGCCATGACAGGTGAAAACATTGAGTCTATGCAACATGCTCCCGCTAACAAAATCCATTAACTAACCCGTCCTTAGACTTTTGACTCGCTTTTCTGGGTGGACTATTTTTGGACGGATAGAACCTAATAAAGTTAGGGCAGACAAGTTGCAATCTTGGGTAGTTATCTATGATATGGGGATTCTGATGAGGGTTTTCGGATGAACATTTCTCACCTACTTCCCCTTCATCTTAGGAAATAGGAACTTACCTTCACCACTGTCAAACCTAATGGAGACCGTACCAACATCCCTATAGTCGTAGGCGGTTTGGTGACCCACTTGGCAGTTAAAGAGTGTTTTGATGAAGCCCACCATACACCAATGCCGGATCCTATTACCTTGGACTAGCACTACTTCACTACCACCGGCTGGTTGTCAGTTGAATTTGGTATACAGTTGGCTCATTGGAATGAGCAATAGGCGTTCCATCTCCTTACCCTCTCCTGACCTTATTAAGATTCACCCTCACCAACCTTCACATATTTTAGAGGTTCCTAGCAGTTCACTTGCCCTAGTTGCCCCCACGAGGACTTACTATAGGCGAGAGTCTGCTGGACCCTCCACATCTTCCACTACACCACCTGTCTCTTTTGACAACGAGGACATCATGGCCAGTATACGGGAACTTCAGCTAGGCCAGCAAGGCTTATGCTCCCGTATCCAGACACTTAAGACCGATTTTCGCTTATCTATGCATCTTGTCTATGATTATTTTTATAGGCAAGGTCATATTCAGAGGGATGCTTCCCATCCTTCGTGGTATACCTTTCATAGGTGTTTTTCCCACCTTCCACACGTTGCAATGAGGCCATTGCCGAGTGTAGCTTGGGGAGGCTTGTGTATATGTATATATCTCTCGGTACGTTCTCTTATTTACTTTTTCTTTGATTGGTTTGTTTTATTGCTTGGTTGTGTTAAAAAAAGAAATATACGAGAATCATGATAATGAATGGCTAGTGAACTACTTCCCTGTGCCCCTATTCTCGATGCCCAAAGGTTTTTGA